AATCCGAGGAGAGGGTATGGGACAGGGGTCACATCTGACAACTTGTAATCCCTGTGCTCTGTGATGTAGTTATTCCTGATTAAACTGATCTTAACAAAATCCCTAATAGTGGAACTCTGAGGCGCAGGTGCTAGATTGATGGCAAAATGATTCAGTCAGCATTTTGGTACCACTTCAGAGGTGTTCTGTTTATTTTCTAGACTGAATATACGGTTGAAATAAGTCAGAAAATGCAATCTAATGGTTCATTTCCCATTTGTATCTTACTGTCTTGAAGCCTTTTTTAGTGATTTCTTTAAGATTTAAAAATCATTAAACTCTGGGCAAAAAAATAAATATCTAATAAATGTTTTAAAAAAATACAGGCCAGGGGTTGCCAGGAGGTGTGGTAGTTAAGGCACTGGACTCCCATATGGCCAATGACAGTTTGAGTCTCAGACTTGGCAGCTTGCTTTCTAACTTTCCCTCTTTCTCTCTGGTCAAAATTAGAAATAAATACATAATAAATAAATCTTTTAAAAAATAAAAATAGGGAACCAGCAGTTAGCGTAATGGCTATGTCGCTGGACTCCCATGTAGTCGACCGCGGTTCGTGTCCCGGACCCGGTGGCTTAAAACTCACGCTAGGCGCGTGTGCGTGCGTGCCCAAGATCCCGAGAGGAGAATGGAGGAGAAGGGATTGCGGCGTGACCATCCCCCCTGGGGGGTGATTTCTCGCTTTCTGTCTCTATGTCTCTCTCTGTCTGTCTGGCGAGTGCACGCGCCCTACAGTGATCTCTCCAAAAATAAATAAATAAATAAATAAATAAATAAATAAATAGGACAGAAAAAACATATTATGGAGAAAATGATGTTTAAAAAAATTGTGTCACAGAAATAGGGCAATCATAATTATGAAAAACAAAAATAAATGCTCTGTATGCTACAGAACACTTACTACAGTATTTGGCCCATAATAAACAAAATAAATGTTGGCTATTATTTTAATTACACATTTAAGGCATTAAAGTAATGTACAAGGAGGTCTTCAAAAAGTGCATGGAAATGCCTATTATGAACAAGCCATGTATACATTTCAACACTTCTTTGCATCAAAATAAACCTGTCTTTAAAAAAAAAAACTATTTCTTTCTTTCATAGGAGAAAGAGAGAGGCGGGCATCCACAACAGGGTCCTCTGGTACAACACGCCGCAACTTCAGGTGGCCCAGATCACAGCTCAAGTCCGCACACCTCACACACTCCGGAAAGCCGAGGGTCAGGAAGCCAGGACCGCCCTTACGTGTAAGTCCCGCTGTGTCACCACCGCGCCACTGCCTAGCCAAAGTCCTACTTCTGTTGGAGAGCCCTCATATTAACTATCCCTATCATAGACCCAGAATTAGCAAAAACGATTTCCGACATCTTCAAAAGGCCTCCCAACTTATTTTTGGTGTGTTTTATATAAAAGCTAATTAAACCATTTAAGCATAGGTAATAAAAAGTAACTTGGGGGAAAACAACATAGCCATGAACCACTTAATGACACCTCAGTGAACAACAGACCACATCCGCAATGGTGGTCCCACCAGATTTAACAAGCGGAAACGCGCTGCTCGTGTGTTTGTGGCGAGGCTGTATCAATAAGCCTGTGAGACGGCACATGTGATTGTGTACGGCACACAGTACTCGACAACAAGCAACTCTGGGTATCTGCACTTTATATGTATCGTCGCAGCGTATTAGAAAAGGTTTACGAAAATGTTCCTGTCAACAGTATGCTCTGTTACACTAGCAGCAGCCTCAGAGATCTTGTGTCTACCACAGTTCTTGACTGCATCATTCCTTTACTCTTGATTTAATCTCCTGTTTTCATTATGACCCTACCAGTGAAACAAGATGTGCAGGTGGAAGACAACAATACGGACAATCCTGACCCTGTGTAGGTCTAGGCTGATGTATGTGTTTGGGTCTTTATTTTTAACAAAAAAGTTTAAAAAATAAAAAATATAAAGCTTATAGAAAAAGGATATGCAGAAAGATGACGTTGATTTGCACTTTATACATTACATAAAGTTAACTCAAAATGGATCTTACACCGAAATATAAAACAAATGCATAAAACTCTCATTAAAAAAAGATAAAATCTTTATGCCATTGGATTAGGCTACAAATTCTGATAAAATTATCAGATTTTATATGAATTCAAAGACTAAAAAGGTTAGAAGACATTTAAGATAATAAAAAGTTATGGACTGGGAGGAAATTAATTGCGAATAACATCAGACAAAGGCTTTAGGTCGAGAATATATAAAGAACTCAAACCCAAGAATATGAAAACAAACAATATACTCCACATATTATAAACAAAAAAAATAATAATTCCCATACAGTTCTACAGGCTAGAATTTATACCTCTGATTGTTCCCTATATTAATACAATGAGAATTTCCTTTCTGTAGTAATGTGGAAACATACTGTGGCAAAAGATGTGAACAGACACTTCACCGCAGAAGACAGAGGGTGAGCAAGCCAATGACCATCAGTGGCACCAGCTGGTGGCATGGTGGTTAAGGCAGCAGGATCTCATATGGCCAACTGTGTGGTTTGAGTCCCAGACTCAGCAGCTTGAAAAACGCACTCGGCACACGTGCATACATGCCCAACATCCCAAAAGGAGAATGGAGAAAAGCCTGCAGTGTGGTCAGACCCCCTAGGAGTGATTTCTCACTCTCTCTCTCCCCCATCCTCCATCTCTCTACAGTGAGCGCATGTACCCTACAGCAAAACTAAAAACATATAAAAACAAACAAAAAAAGATCAACATAATTTATTATGAGGGAAATGCAAAATAAACCTACAAACCTAAGAGGATGACTAATAAAAACAACTGGCAGGCCCAGCTGCATAGACAACACTCTGTAATACTGTGTAAGCCTGTGAAAGCTAGTGGTTCTATTCCCAAATTGACCTGAACACATGTAAGTACCCATGAGTGAGAAGCCTACAGGGAAAGATAGGGAGAATAGCGCCATGAGACCCTGGGGAGGGTGCATGCTCATGAAAACAATAAACAAATAAATAAATAATAACAACAAAATAACAATACCACGTGATGAAAAGGATTTGGAACAACTGTTAAGTATCGTATTTTGCTGGAAATGCAAAATACCAATCCTTTCCAAATTCTTCAAGAAGTTTTACAAGGCCAGTATTAACCTGATACCAAAGGCAAAAACATCATAATAAAACTGTAAACCACTATCTCTCATAAGCATGAATGGAAAAATCTTTAACAAAATATTAGCAAACCACACTCTACAACATATAAAAAAGACTCTACACTATAATCAAGTGATATTTATTCCAGAAACACAAAGCTGGTTGAACATCTGAAAATTGATGACTGTAATACTAAATATATCAATAAAAAAGCTCCATTAAAACTGACCTGAAGGATACTAAAGAGTTTTATGACACTGGTTATTTTCTATGTTTTCCAAAGTGTTGATTTCCTTCACTGTTAGTTACTCAATTTAATATAGAGTACATAGTGCATGCAAAGTATTCTGCTACACACTGACGTAGGCAGACAAAAAAATAAATAATTACATGATTCAGTAAAAATTAAAATAAGCATCATGCACAGAGATATAGATAAAGAAAAAAATCTACCGGAGGGAATTTTTTTTTAAGAATTATTTTATTTAATTTAATTCATCATTATTTTTATTTTTTAAATTTGACAAGAAAGAGAGAGAGAGAGAACGAGAGAGAGAGAGAACGAGAGAGAGAGAGAAAGTTAGAAAACAAGCCACCAGGTCTGGGACTCAAACTGCCATCAGCCACGTGGGAGTCCAGCATCTTAACCCCCATGCCATCTGCCAGCTCCGGAGTTATGGAATTTTTTTAAAAAGACTGTCCTATTCCTAATCTTTATGAAGATGTATTTTAAACTGGCAATCCAAATTAAATCACATTGTGGTAGCAAATGCATTAATATATGAAAGTAATCCAACTGAATAATAGGCAAATGAGCCGAAGAGACAATGCTCTAAGGAATACCTATGAATGGCCAAAATGCATATGATAAAATGTCCAACATCTCTTACCATAAGGGAAATGAAAACCAAAAACCACAGTGAGGCACCCCTTAACTCCAATCAGAATGACTTAAAAACAAAACAAAACAAAACAAACAGGGAACAACAAGTGCTAGTGAGCCTACTCTGTTGGTAGAAATGTAAATTAGTATAGCCACTGTGGAAAATAACATGGAGGTTCCTCAAAAACCCGTAACTACAACTACCATATCCCAGTAATCCCACTCCTTGGCATAAGCCCAAAGGACAGGAAAACAGTTGGAAAGATACTTGCACATCCACACTGATTGCAGCATCACTCACAATTACCAAGACATGGAATCAAGCTAAATGCCCAAGAACTGACACACGGAATGAAAAACATGTGGCAAATATACACTATGGAATACCACTCAGCCATAAGAAATGAGGCCCCATCATTTGATCAGAATGTAAAAGACTTAACGTAAGTGAAGTAAGCCAGACTGTGAAAGACAAACACTACATATCCCTGCTCAGTATACGGTGAATGCTTGCACTCTACAGAAAAACGGAAAGAGCTGAAGAGAGCAGGGGGACCCGTAACGATTCAAGAGACAGTGAGGGCAGGCTGTAGGAGTGCTCAGGGAAGGAACACTTAACAGACTCAAGAATGTGAAACTCTGTTGAAATGATGTATATGATAACATTTCTTAGTAAACTGTGCCATACTGCATGCGTACTTTGGAAAACCATAGTGTGTGCTATAGAGATGTACAATGATGGAATGAAAGAAATTATAAAGTAAATCTTAAAAAGAAAATCATTTTATAGGACTATTGTATATACATTTTCTTTTGTTTGGCTGTAAATAAAATATCATCACTCTAAAAAGTCTTCAGGTATAATTATTTATGCCATATGCTACTGAAAAGTATTTTTCTGATGAAACAGTCTATACCTTCTGGGGAGCCAAAATCCTCTGCCTGAACTTTTCAACTGTCTCTTGACCCATAGAAGACCAAGCACTGACAAATGCTTCTGCTTTGTCTTGTCCAAGATGAATGTTCTCTAACTGCTGCTGCAAAGCTGCTGGCTTCACATTGTGATAGACTGCCTATTAAAGAGAAAAGAAAACGTATCTATATCATACAGAGGCCTTGTACTGTAATCAATATAGAATTATTTTTAAATGACTTAAATTTTTAAAAATTCAACATTCCTATTACAAACATGTTTGGTTGCCTTACAAATAATATACAGACCAAGGGCTAGAAGTTTCAATTTTAAATGGCCTAAATTATTCAGTCCTAACTTCTCCATTTTTGCCTGTGGTTTAAGTAATCCTAAATCTATGTAATAACCCAAAAAGTTCTTTGCTTTAGCTAGGTAAATGGTACCCTAATTAAAATATCACTTATTTTACTTAATTATTTCAAAGAAGTGTACAAAGGTTTTATTTCCCAACTAAGAATCTTTTCAACAAGTTCTTTAGCAAAACTATCTTCATCTCAGGACCAGCACTTAGTGTAATGGCTATGTCGCTGGACTCCCATGTAGTCGACTGTGGTTCGAGTCCCGGACCTGGTGGCTTAAACTCATGCCGGGCACATGTGCGTGCGTGCCCAAGATCCCGAGAGGAGAATAAAGGAGAAGGGATTGCAGCGTGGCTATCCCCCCTGGGGGGGGGGGGATTTCTTGCTTTCTATCTCTCTGTCTCTCTATGTCTTTCTGACGAGCATACGTGCCCTATAGCGAAAACCTCTCCAAAAAAAGAAAAAAAAAAAAAAAACCTACCTTCATCTACCAACTTCCTATGTAACATATAATCAAAAATTGTGAAAAACGTTAACAGTGATATCTATTTTGTGTCTTACGTTATTTGAGAACACTTTCCCGTAAACCCTATGTTGCGCTCCCTTAGTTATTCTTCTTTTCTGCCATGGTCCACCATACTGACCACCGATAACCTGTGTAAGGCTGCAGTAGAGGTCTGGCAGCTTGTATTCCTAGCAGCACCTGCTCATCAGAATGCTCATGAAACTACATACTACTTATTCACAAGAATTCTATTGAATCAAACGACGTGAACTTATTGAGAATCTACTTTCAGTCCAGCTATATTACAGCTAGGCTTATACACGATACACAAAAAATATAATCCTGACCCCTCCCCCCATAAATTCAAAACTCTAACTGACACACTTGTAATAATGAACACTAACAACTGCTGTGCCGTGACATGCCGAGGGTAAAAGAAATCCAAATGAGGGGAAAACACAAGTACTAATAGAAGGGGTTAAGACTGAAGTAAAAAAGCTGTGACTTAAACAGGAGCTTAAATAATGAATGAAATTTAGACGAGAAGGGAAGTAGAAGTGAAGTTCAATAGGAAAATTACAGTATTTTTTTTTGCTAAGTATTTTATCATCCTAGTCAATGTATTCCCCCCAAATCATTTAAGTAAAGTCTGTTCATTTTTCCAGACATTATACCAAGAAGCAGTAAATTCAAGTCTTTTACACCTATCTGAAATCAGTAAAGTCTCAATGTTCTTCAACATTAAGATTGTTTTCTAGGACAAAATACTGTGGAAATCAAGCATACATTCACAAACTTTTATTACATGAAAATATGTGATTAAAAATACATTCACAGGCTCCATCTTTATACTTCTTAAACGAAACAGAACATTATAGATATCACACCAATACAAACATGTAGGAAACAAAACACGGCGAGGAAATCTGAGGCAATAAAAATACCTGTTCTAAAATAAACGATATTGTTTCAAGAACTAGGTGAAGCTCTTGTTTCTCTAGAGAAAATGCAGCTTGAAGTTTTTCTTCCTCTTCTTCACTGAAGCTGCTCTCTGCCTACAATACAGAAAGTAATCTATCAGCACACATCTCTGTAGTCAACTCCCCCACCCCCGACAGAAGACCCAGGTATCCATATATGGAAAGAGAACCTGAACAAAAAGGAAATCTAAAAAGGTGTGCTTGTAAACTTTTTGGATGGACAGCACCCATTCTGGACTACTGCAAAAAAGTAAATTGCATTGAACTAATTTCTTCCGACAACTTAGATCATAATTACAACAATCAAAGTTCTATCCAACTGTGTCTTTTTTTTTTTTTTTTAAAGAGAGAGGTTTGTTATAGGGTGCATGCACGCACTGAAGAGAGACAAAGAGACAGAAAGCAAGAAATCATCCCCCACCATCACCCGACCACGCCAGGAAGGGGGCCACACTGCAATCCCTTCTCCTCCACCCTCCTCTTGGGATTTCGGGTATGTATGCACACCTACTGGGCATCAGTTTTTAAGACACCAGGTCTGGGATTCGAACCATGGTCAACTATGTGGAAGTCTACCAACCCATGCACTATAACCATCCCATGCACTATAATATCTTAAAGAATGAGATATGGGGCCGGCAGACGGTGTGGTGGTTAAAGGTGCTGGATTCCCACATGAGCGACTACAGTTCGAGTCCTAAACTTGGTGGCTTGTTTTCTCACTTTCTCTCTTTCTCTCTTTCTCTCTCTCTCTCTTTCTCTCTCTCTCTCTCAATCTCTCTCTCTCTCTCTCCAAGTTAAAATGTTTAAAAAAATGTATAAAGTTAAATAAAATATTTCTTTAAAAAAAAAAGACTGAGATATGAAGATGGTTATTTTACTTTGGTTAAAAAAAAAAAAAAAAACAGACTTCTGGCTTTTATCTTTTGTGTGTGATTTTCAAAAGTCTTCAATTCATTCCATCATCAACAGTCCTTTCCCAGAACTGCCCACGTGTCCCCATGCTGCAGCGCCTTTCTCCTAGTCTGCCGACGCCAGGATCCCAGATATCAGACCTCTGAAAACTAGACCTTCAACAAGGTTCCAACACAATGTTTATTTCCAGGCTCCCAGCCATGGAAGTTCACCTGAATTTTTTTTTTTTTTTTTTTTTTTTTGGAGAGGTTTTTTCTATAGGTCGCGGGGTCTGGAAAGAGAGAGACAGACAGAGAGACAGGAAGCGAGAAATCACCCCCAGGGGGGATGGCCACACCGCAATCTGTTCTCCTCTACTCTCCTCTCGGGATCTTAGGCACACATGCACACACGCCTGGCGTGAGTTTAAGCTGCCAGGTCCAGGACTTGAACCGCGGTAGACTACATGGGACTCCAGCGACATAGTCATTACGCTAACTGCTGGTCCCCGAAGTTCATCTGACTTCTGTCAGAGTTTCCCAATGTGGCCTGCTGGCCAGAGAGAGTCTCTGTAGGACTGAAAGTGAATAGTTTACCCTTAGAGAAAAGAAGAAGTTCATTTGTAGGCAAGGGAAAGGATAAAAATACTAACATGTAGTTGTATTCATGCGTGCCCAAAATCCCAAGAGGAGAATGGAGGGGAAGGGATTGCAGCATAGCTATCCCCCGGGCAGGGGGGTGATTTCTCACTTTCCATCGCTCTCGCTCTGTCTCTCTATGGCGAGCACACATGCCTTCTAGCAAATTAAAAATGAAGATGAAAATAAATAAAACACTTTATTAAAAAAATTAAAATTTTAATTTAATATTATTTGAAGCTAGTTTCCCAAACTTTTGACTGTGGAACATGATCAACTCTTCCATAGACGTACTGTTCCTGGAAGCACATTAAAGGATACTGTAGGTGACAAAAAGTTCTCTAAACAATGAGTTTCAGTGGAATCAGAAAGAGTATCCCAAGCTGGAGGAATTTAAAAATACAAACCTTCAGGTGAAGTTTTTGAAGAATTCGAGTTAGCAATCGTGGAAATCTTCCTGTATCTATTGCATTTATAAGCATCACTGCTTTTTTCATGCTAGATAAATTCATAAAACAAAGTTTTAAAATTAGTTTTCCAAGTCAAACTGTACTTGCCATAACTGTCTATAAGTTTTCAGTGCAAGGAATGATTGCCATACGATAAAGAATAGAGGGGACAGCCAGCAGAAGAGGCAGGGTCGCTGGGACATTTTTAAGAAGCCCCACTTGGCAAATTGTCTTCTTTTGGGCAAAGCAACCTTGTGGGCCAGCAGGTGGCAGAGAGTTTAGGCTCTGGATCCTACATTGCTGGCTGCATGGTACGTCCAGACCCAGGAGCTTGGAAATCATACTGGGTGTGTGTGCACACGCCCCAAATCCCGAGATTGGGGGAGGAGGGACTGCAGCACGGCCACACACAAACACACACGCGTTTGCTCAGTCCCCCACCCCCCAATTTGGCAAGTGTATGCGACCTACAGCAAAAACTTAGAAAAAGAAAAAGAAATACTGTACTGCGTGGAGAAAGGCATGATCTGGCAGGGGGTGTTTCTGGAACCACTTCACCCAAAACGGAACTCCGGGCGGGAGGACAGCGGCAATTGGGGCGATCACACGGAAAACAGGACCACAGGGCAAATACCGGGGTTAGAAATGCTACGCACAGCACCTGCAGCCACTAGGTAGCCCCTTTCGACTGTAACGATTCACTTTAAACGATGCGATACGAACAACTCTAGCGCAGCAGGCCGCATGCGGTGTAAGGCTGCGGCGTGCTGGCGCGACCTGGGAAAGGGAAGGGGCTGGCGCCCACAGGGTCCGGGAGCCGCCCTCCGGGAAGGGCCCTCCGCGCGGCCACCGGCCCGGATCGGCGCCCCCGGCGTCCGCGCCACCCCCTCAGCCGGGTCAGGGCGCTCCGACTGCCCGCGCCCGGGGACTGCCCGCAC